ACTATATATCTCAATGTATTGCTTACATACTCACCGACGCAACGCGCAGACCAACGGACGGCAGTCCATACATTTTATTCATTTACATTTTTTGTTATGTAATCTAAAGTGAATCAATAAGAAAATAAACTAATCTTATAATTCAATGTCTGTAGTTATTGTAACGTTAATAATAATATGAATTTGATGTCTAGCTAAAAGTATAAGAAAGATTTTATTTTTTAATTGAAGTATGCCCACATACCGAGAGTAGAGCACTCCCTCACGCTGTGAGGCGTCCAAAATATAAGATGGTATTACGTTTATCTTTATTATCGATTTTCGGACAGTCATAAATTTTTATTTTTTACAGGAATAAATTATTCCTTTAAAATTGTATAATTATGTAATTGTACAGTTTTTTATATAAAATATGAATAATACTGCCCTGATCTTTTTCATTAAAACTATGTTTGTTCTAAATTGTATACTGTTTTAGATATTTTTTTGTGAAAATTTATGTTTTAATTTAAAATTGTCTACTTTTTATTATAAATCTGACATCAGAAGTAGTTTAATCCCGAAAATGTTTGCTTTTTAATTAATAAATGTAAGATTATTTTGACTTTCGTTAATATTTGCTGTAAATAACACTGTGTTTCTGAAACATACAGGGACTTGTTTCAACTCGTTTGGTTATGTTTTAATAGCCGGCACTGCGACGGACGGCCGGGGCGCAGAGTAAAGAGTAAGGACCAGAGGGGAAGCTTCTTAACAACGTCGAAAATGTATACCTATTCCAATAGGGCTGTCACATGATGCATGTGAAAAATTTAAGGAAAAAATAGTGGTGATGTTGATGGAGCCACTGTTGGTCCACTGCCTACAACCACTACCTACGATACTACCACCTCTACCACTACTGACACCATCAGCAACACTATCCACCAAGACCAGCACAACTTCCACCAACACCAATCCCACCACCCCCACTAATGTCTGGCGATTGTATTCCAACCATAATGCAGTGGTATTTACTCCTGGTGTCGCGACTCGCAAAAAGTAGCTTATATTCTTCCCCAAGAACCAGAAAGCAACCTACCTCTATACTAAAGTGGGTGGATAAAGTCACACATTTAGCCTTATTACGTAGGTAACCTGCAATCTACGGCACTGTCAAGGTTAGACTAACGTTTCAAGTAGGTGAGACCGACTTCATCACTCGGCGACGTACCTGTCTAACACATTCTTACCCATCAATGTTATTACCTAGTTTTATTGTATATAATACGTAAAAAGGTACTTACTTCACTTGTCTCTCGGGTACAAAAAAAAGGAAATATTCTTATTTTCTCTAGAATTATTCATGCATACTGTACAACTATTAGGCAATTTTGCTTATACAAAACGCTTATTATTTACCTATATAAATTTATAAAAACTTAATTCTTAATTATTTTAATTAAAATACTTAAATCTAATTATTTAATAATTGCAAAAAAACTTAATAAATTAATTGATGTATAAAATTTCGAACTATTGTTGGTCTATTTATTTAAATGCGCACGACTAACAGCCTTTTCATGGATACTCTGACTGAGCCGGTGCAAGAGCTCACGCACACATCGCTGCGCTATGTATGGGTGTATTCGCCGTGAGCCGTTTGTATGTAGCTTCCCCTCTGGTCGGTTTCTTTACTCATGTGGCCGGGGTGAACGACGGCTAGCCGTCGCAGCTGTCTCGTTTTGATGCGCGTTCCTCTCTATACAAAACGAGATAGCCGCGACAGCTAGGCGTCGCATCCGACCGTCCGTTGTAGTGCCGGCTCTATTTGTATGTTTTAAAATGTTTTCTTTAATTATTCAGATTAAATTAATTGCTTTTGAAATGGCACAAAGTAGTAAATTTTTAGAGAGCTTGAAAAAATATAATTACTCAGAAAGAAGTAAATGATCCGCCTATTGCTGATCTTGAAGTGGAATCGATGGACATAAATGGACATGAAAATAACCCACAATATGTAATAATTAAAACTTAGGTATGTTTTTATATTACTAAGTGTATATTAATGAGATTTTATTTTATTTTAGGTACTTATTACACTTTTTTTCTTTGACAGGTTTACAGGACGATTTACACGAAACGAACGAAAATCCCCAGTAAGGTTCACAGGAAACGAATGAAAATTGAAATTTACAACAATAATGTATTGTACAAGAAATGAACACTTCTCAAGAAATGAAGAGATGCAGCAACTTCAGAAAATTGTTAAGATTTCTTTTCAATATTTTTTTAGATTTTGTAGGAGAACTAAGTGTATCTAAGTCAGACATTTTATTTTAGATTCATCAGGTAGCAGTAGGGTTACCATATCTCAGGATTTGTCCTGAGATTTCAGGATTTTTAGACTCTTCTCAGGATTACGGCTGGATTTTGCAAATCTCATGAAATCTCAGGATTTTTAGAACTTTCAATATAATACAGCTTACATTTTAAAAGATCTCTTAATAAAAAGTTAAACAAACTAAAAATAATTTTCCTTTGGTAATAATTCCACAATTAAAATCAAAACTTATTTATCCAAGTAGGTACTTAAACAGTTTTATCATACTTAATATGTGAAGATACCTTTTTAAGTAAGGTTTTCTTCTCAAACTGTAAAACAATCTCAGGATTTTTAAATGGAAATCAGGCCACTTCTCCGGACTTTTAATTTTTTCATCTGGTAACCCTAGGTAGCAGTGACTCCGATCCCACAAGTTCTTCATCCAGCTCTTCTTCCTCTGGAAAAGATTATTCTTCTGATGACAGCGTAGCTGATCGCAATTTCAATATTAGTAAATATTTTAATTTATCACAAAGTGGTTCTGATTCTGAGCCATCTCAAGCTGAAAATCCATCTGTTCAATTAATCCAACTGGTTGAATCACAGACAGAGCAAGTTTTACCGAAAAATAACACACCTAAACGTCTAGCTAACCCTTGTTGGGTTAATGGAAAACAAATGAATTAAAACGATTGAGGCATGCAGGTAATAGCTACTCTACTAAAAATAAAGTTGTGAGCGAAAAATCTATTAAGTCTCCTTGCGGCGATAAAAGCAGGCAGAAATGTTCCACTCTCATTTTAGAGGAACACAGGCAAAAAATTTTTGATGCATATTATGCTTTACCAGATGCACTACATAAACGTCATTTCATTGCCAATAGCATTGAGGAGATTAAATATGTGTACAAATCTAGCAACAGACCACGCAAAAAAAATTAAAAAAAAATTCTTGAATGATGGCAAAAATCAAAAAATTCGTGTCTGTCAAAAGTTTTCTTAAATACCCTTGATACTTCCCTTTCAATAGTTCGAACAGTGCGAGATAGGGTTTTTCAAAGCGATAATCCGGTGCCAATACTCGATGACCGAAGAGGCAAACACGAACATCATCACCGGGTTGTGGATTCACTAAAAGACAGCGCTAGAGAATTCATTAGCAACATACCAAAAATAGAAAGTCACTACGTTTGCGCTAATACCAGTCGAGAGTATATAGATGCAGGTAGAAATTTTTCTGATATTTACAAGGATTATGTTCAATTGTGTACACAAAAAAAGAGAGAGGTATATTAACTATGTAATGTTCCATAGAATTTTTAACACAGAGTTTAATATTAGTTTTTTCACTCCGAAGAAATATGCCTGTGAAGATTGTATTGCCTATATTAATGCATTAGACTCTGAGAAGGAAAAAAATGAAAGATCGTTATGAAAACCACCTGATGGAAAAATAATTGTCACGAATAGAAAAATGGAACGATAAAACAAATGCCTAAAGTAAATCATCGTTAACTGTCGCGGTTTATGACTTACAAGCGACGTTGCCATGTCCAAAAGGCGAAATTTCAACATTTTTATTACGTATCAAAATTGAATTCTTATAACTTTACCATCTATGGTTTGAAAACAAAAGATGTAGAATGTTACTTTTGGCACGAACAGCAAGGCAATAGAGGCGCGAATGAAATTGCAACCTGTGTTTATAATTATATTGTATCTATGTGTGCGAGTGTAAATGAAGATGTTGGTATAATTTTTTACAGCGATAATTTTACAGGTCAACAAAAGATCAAATTCCTAATAAGTATGTATATGCATGCGGTAGCAACGATTCCCAGTCTTTAAACTATAACGCATAAGTTCCTTATTAAAGGACACACTCAAAGTGAAAATGATTTGCCTCACTCGGTTATAGAGAGAAATATTAAAAAATCACTTAGATCTGGGCCAATATACAGCCCAGATCATGTTTCATTGATCAGAACAGCAAAAAGGACTGGGAAATCTTACAAAGTTAACAAGTTAAATTACACTCAATTTAAAGATTTCCAGTCTCTTTGTAATGATGTAGGCCGCAATTATACTAATAATGAAACTATAAAGGTGAATGTCATAAAAATCTTAAAATTCACTAAGGAAAATCGCGGTTGCTTCTTTTATAAAACTGGCTACAGTTAAGAAGATTTTAAAATGGTATAATAAGTTGGACCCACCGCTGCAAAAGGTCTTCGAGATAATTACCCTTTTAAAGCATATGTAATAATTTATACCACAACAAACAAAACAGACTAAAAAGATTATAATTTTGTTCCAAACTACAATATTCTGGTGCAAAAAGTAAAGATATTTCTTTATTATTCGTTTCAACGTGAAAAGTAATAATCTGACGGTTAATTTTATTCAAATATTGTGATTAAGTGCACACAAGTTTGAACATTTGATTCTACGACTTATGGTCGTTTTTATATAGTTGGTGATTACAGCGACATCTATGAAACTACATCGTCATTATATTTCATCGACCAAAGAGTATCCTTAAGAAGTAGTGGATTGTAATGCTTAATTTCAATTGTAAATATCGAACACGCTTGGTCGAGCGGTATAGGTAATTTGCTAGAAACCGATACGACGAAGGATTCGAGCCCAAGGCGGACAAGTATTTTTGTCTTTAATTTTATAACATAAATAAAAATATGGAGCAAAAACATCAAACTCCTTTGAAAAAATGTTCTTTTAAATGTAAATCAATAATAGAAAATCGACAGTTCACAATTTGTTCAGTGTGTGAGAATGCCTACCATATTGACTGTGCAAATATAACTTTCGCTCGCTTTAGAATATGGACAAACGAGACTAAAAAATCATGGATATGTAATAGATGCATAAAAAGTAAAACAAATACGAAGAATGCAGTCCATTCTCCATCACTGGAAAAGGATACTGTGAATATCACAAGACGTAAAAAAAGGATTGGAACACTTGAATGTAATGATATGAATGATGTAGACTCAAAATCTACAAACAGCTCACCAACAACTGGCCAGACACTATTTTCAATGCACAAGGAAACAGATGAATACATTACAAAAGATTTACCTACAGAAAAATTATTAGAAAAATCATTATCCATAGAATTGCCTGTTGAATCAGTTAACACTAGTTTCCAATCCTTAGAAGACTTATCACACAGCTTAGAATTAGAATTAGTAAATGAACTTGATATTGTAAGCAAACAAAAAATTAAAATAGATAACTTACAAATTAAATTAAAGAGTTGTGAAACTGAATTAGACGATACAATTTTAGAAAATAATGAATTAAGGCGACAAGTCACTAAACTGACAAAGGAGCTGCTTATTCTAAAAACATTTGTAAAACCCCACAAACGGCAAAAAAACAGCGCGGGAGTTTATTTTCAAGTTCGTCCTCAAGTTCTCCAGATAAAAAAAATACAGAGCAAATATTTGTTTTGGAAAATAAAATAACAAAATTACAACAAGAAATGAAATAAGCTCAAGAAGAAGTAAGAAATCTCTGCACAAAAATCAAGAGTTTAGAAAAGCAATTGAAAGACAAAAGAACACCAGAAATTGTTTTAGAAATTAATGATAACACAAAACATCATGTACATAAAGATACTAAATCATTACATAAACCACTAAGAAACAAATTGTGTATACTTACAAGTGACAAGAGATAAAAAATACTTCAAAATGTAAACAGAAATCATATTCTAAGTCAGTATGAGTTATGTCACTTTATTACTACAAATGTTGGGATAGAGATAATTTTAAAAAACATACATAAAAAACTAAAGGACTATACAAAACACGACTACTGTGTTGTGATAATAGGAGAATCTGATTTTAATACCTCTGAAGACTATAAAAGTCTGGTGAAAACAATCAAAAACAGTCTGGAACGAGTACAATATACTAACGTAATCCTAGTTTCACCAACATACATATGTGGAAAGCCATTGTATAACTACAGAGTAGACTTTCAATTACCTACTTTATCAGGACATAAACGCTAATAAATATGGCTATTTCATTGATTCAAACTGGGACTTAACATATGATATGTTTTTACAGTTTACTGGTAAAATAAAACAAAATGGAGTGCAAAACTTAATGCAAAACATTGCCAAATAAATATTATCTCTACAAAAATCGAGTTTTGAGAAACAAGTAGATACAAATAAAGAGAACTCTATTGCCCCTGATGAAAATCAGTTTTTTCTTCTATAAACACTTACATATATTACATCAGAACACATCGGGACTTTTGAGCAAATGTGATGAGCTAATATTAAATCAGGATGAGTTAGACAGACAAAAAAAACCATCGACATTTATCGAATTTCTTATGATACCCAATTTCACATTAGCAAGCAGTTTTTCAAGAAATAAAAGACGCGGTGCATCATCTATTTTAGTAAGAAAAGGATTAAAGTATCGAGTAGTGGATAATATTAAAAAAAATTCGATTGAATGTATGATAGAGACCTGTGCTGTAGAAATATGTGACCATAACATTATTGTAATAAATACTATAGAGTTCCTAACACAAATAAATCTTGTCTGGATACGTTCTATAATACTCTTAGAGGCATTCTAAATTCTATTATAAATACTAAAAATAAAAATATTATTATCTGTGGCGACTTTAACATCGATATTTTGAAAAATACTTCTGTTAGTCGAGAATTTAAGAATCTACTGTTAAGCTACAATCTGAAGCTAGAGATAAAAAAGCCGACAAGAATTGCAAGTGGAACGTGTATAGACAATTGTGCACATAATGTAAGAGGATCAAAGAATGAAGTCATTGAACTAGGCCTTTCAGATCATATGGCGCAAATTTTAAAATGTTCTGTAAAAAAACATGTAAAATCAATTCGTGGAGTATTAAACGAAGAGATTTTAGCTATGAAAATCTTCAAACATTTGAAAGATGTATTGATAGTCTAAGTTTCCAAGATACATTTAATTCTTCGGATCCAAACACATCTTACGATAGTTTTTTTGACATATTCAAATGCTTGTATGATCTATGCTTCCCCTATAAAATTATAAAAAATACTCTTAATTCTAAGCAAAAATGGATATCAAAGGCATGTTGTAAAAAAAAGCGGGATTTACTTTGGCACTTTAGGAGAAATAAAAGCAAAGATGCTCTATCACTATTAAAAGAATATTCATTAAAATTAAAGAAAATAATAAAAAACACAACGTTCACAAAATGAATATTATATAAATAAGTCGAAAAATAAAATGAAAGCAATTTGTTCTGTTATAAATAAATCCAAAACAAGTATTCCCAAAGAACCAATACAGAAGCTAAGATTAGGTAATGAATATCTTACTAACCCTATTGACATCACTAATGCGTTTAATGACTTTTTTATTGATGACATAAAACCTGACAATTATATTATTAATACTGACATTTCTTTAAATAATAATAATAATGACAATTCCAACAATAATTGTAATAATAATGTAACTTCAAATCATTTATTTCGTTTCAATAATAATTATAAATCTCCATTTTTAAGCCCGACAACACCTGACACAGTTTGTAAAATTATAAATAGTCTAACAAATACTAACAGTGTTGGTTTTAACGACGTTTGTACAAAAGTAATAAAACATGTTAGCTCTACAATAGCTAGACCTTTGAGTCATATTATAAATTTAAGCTTTACTACAGGTATATTCCCAAACAATTTAAAACCAGCTGTAGTAAAGCCATTATTTAAAAAAGGTGATAAAAAATTCCCGATAATTATCGTCCAATTGCATTACTTTCAAATTTCTCAAAAATACTTGAAAAAATTATTCATGGTCAGCTTTACACATTTTTAGAAAAACATAAAATTTTAAATAAACAGCAAAAAGGATTTCGCAAAAATACTACAATTGCAACAGCAATATATGACTTAGTAAAAAGATCAGTGCTTTGTTTAGATAAAAGAATCCCATCATGCGCCATTTATATGGACATGACGAAGGCATTTGACCATGTAGACCATAACATATTACTAGAAAAACTAAGCCGTTATGGTGTGAGAGGTAATGGACTAAACTTAATAAAATCTTATTTAACAGGTAGAACACAAAGAACTGTAATCAGTCAGATCTGTATCTCTACTAAGCAAGAAAAAATATATACGTCTAATAATAGAACGATAAAGCATGGCGTTCCTCAAGGTAGTGTTTTGGGTCCTTTACTATTTATAATATACATTAATGATATTGTTGAATCTTGTAAATACCCAATGATACTGTTTGCAGACGATAGCACTATTTTTGTACAGTGTGACAATGTAGCAGAATATCAAAATAATATTAACTTTGCTATTGAAAATATGATTAAATGGTTAAAAGAAAATAATCTTAAAGTTAATCTGGAAAAAACCAAAATAATGCAATTTACACAAAGAAAAAGTACCCCAACTCAAACGATAAGTTATGGGAATAAAACTATTTCTGAAACAAAAGTTGCTAAATTCTTAGGGCTGTTTATAGATAGCAACATGTCATGGGAATCGCATTCAATAGAAATCTGTAATAAAATGTATAAATTTTCATTTGCACTATATAAACTGTCAAAAATAACTGACCGAAAGACTGTTCTAACAGCGTACAATGGCTTTGTGGCTTCGACCCTGCGATATGGTATCATATTTTGGGGACTGTCAACAGACAGGGAATTAATGATGAAAGCTCAAAAACAGTGTATTCGAGCTATATGTGGGATAAAGCCTACAGAAAGTTGCATACCGTACTTTAGATCTCTTAAGATATTAACATTACCCTGTATGTATATACTAGAATCATGTATGTTTGTAAAATGCAATCCGGATCTTTTTGATATGAGAGTACAACAATCTTTTGTTAACCTTCGTCCTCGGAAACAAAAAATCCAGACAAATGTATGTAAAACTACCCTTATGAAAAAAAGTATTGTTGAAATGGCCCCTAAATTATATAATAAATTACCTGATCATATGAAATGTTATAATGCACAAAAATTTAAACGTACTCTAAGTAATTTTCTTATAAATAAATGTTATTATAATGTCAATGAATTCCTATTTACTAATGATTTAAATAATATTTAATTTAATAATTTTGTGTTTTTTTGACTTTGTTTACTTAGTTTAACTGTTATGGTCCCCACACACGGTCACTTAAACTGACATCAGTTCAACTGATCATTTCAAACGGACTTAATCCAAAACAATTTCGACACACACGATCAGTTGAACTGAGCATTCCAACTGATCAGTTCAAACTAGGACTGTTGATATTTTTAAAATATCGGATTTTCAATATATCGATAATTATAAATATATCAATATCGGAGTTTTATACATCGAAAACATAAGGGAATGTATCGATACTTATTGTATATTTATTAAACAAATTAAATTATAAATGAATGATAATGCTAGGTTATAATTCTTAGTAATTATTAATGAGCCGTGGTAGCTCAGATGGTTAGCGTTCGCTGTAAATTTCACAGTACGCGAGCAACCCGGGTTCGATCCCCGCCGGCACCAATGAAATTGTTAATTGCAATTTTAAATGCTGATTTATCACGTGCTCGACGATGAAGGAAAACATCGTGAGGAAACCTGCATGTCTGAGAAATAAAATAAAAATTTCAAAAAACGTGAAGTTCGCCAACACGCATTGGGCAGCGCGGCGGACGTAGCCCTAAAACCCTCTCAGAAATTAGGAGAGACCTGCCCAGCTGAGGAGTGCCCAGCATTGGGACGTATAAGGCGTATAAAGTTAACTTTAATTATTGTTAATTTAAATAAGACAATTATGTTTACCAATATTTTTCAGTACGAGTTTTCAAAATACTCGTTATTTTATATGTTCAGCTGTTTCAATACTGCGATTATTGGGCACTAAAAGATTGATTGTAGAAGTAATTCGTTCAGATTCTACGGATGCAGCTGAACAAATCAAATATTTAACAGCTATTTCTGATAGCACGGAAGTAAATCATAAGACGCCTAAGCGATTAAAATAACTTGAGGCTTATACCAACATCGAAGTACTTATTTCGTTGTTTTCTCTAATAGCTCACATGCGCAGACACTTAGTACATATAATCGCATCACTTTGATAAAAATCCACTTCAAACGATTATTTAAACGATAAAACGGGAGCAACAGTCCGTCAATGGTCAAGCTCCTGCCAAAACTCACAGTAAGTAAAGTAGTACTAAGTTTAATAGATTATAGTGATTTTAATATCACAGAGGTATACTATACAAGATTATATTTCTTTTTAAGATAATGAGCAAATAAATAAACTGGGGAAAAATGAAAAACATAATATAGTGTAAATAAAGTATAGTAGATAGGGTCCATCAAGGATTAGGATTTAGGTTTACGATAGTGTTGTAGATTAAAAGATTTACGTGAAAAAATAAAATATTAAATTATTTAAAAAAATATATG